TTTGTTTAAAAAATGCAAAATAGTAAGTTTGCTGAATTCCTTTTTTTATTATTATTATTATTAATATAGACATTAGAAAATTATTAAAATGTTCTCTTGCTCACCTCTATTTACCTATGTCTTGAGTAACAGTACAAGTGTCTTATGGTCCCAAATCTATTATACGGATACTCCACTCTACTACATTTCTATTTTCATGTAAAATACAAATTTTATCGTAACCTAATTAGGTACAATAATGTATCATAAGCAATATGGGTGGATAATTCAACTAGAAAAATCAAAAATAAATCCAATGTATCTAAATACAAATTAGAAACATGTCATAATAGATGATTCCATCTTAAATAAATCAACAATTATTTGTGGCAATTTTTAACATCAACTTGAGATTTTTCTTGTTAAAAAGTTTAATAATTTTAACACATTCAACATTACTAACAAAAAATATTGAATTTTTATGGTGGTGTTTTCATTTAAACATAGCATGAGCAAAACAAATTGACAAATTTGTACGGAAAAATACAGCAGAATGTCATCAAAATATACAAAAATTTTTCGTCTTTTAATAGTCAGTTGTGCTTAATTTAATTTGTAATTTAGGTAGGAAAAAAAATGTTTATAAGATAGAGAGGGCCACAAAAATTACTGCGGGGGTAGGGGGGCCAATCAGGCTTGAGCCTTTCGTTTGTAATTCAAGTGGACTTAGTATAATGATAAAAAGAAGTTTAGAAAATAGATGTCTTGCTGAAAATGTTGTTTATATGGAAATGTTTTATTTAAAGAGAATTTGTATTTCAAGTTATTTTTCTCTGTCAATTATTCAGCTTGTCTCAAATATTTTTAAAAAATACCACTCACTTCCCTTTTCCAGATTTGTGTTGTGTTATGCTTACAGCTTTCGCTGTAACTTTAACTCCAGTTAATTTATCAGTAACTTATTAGTCCTTCCTTGTATTTTATGTTATGTTGAACTACTAGTGATGATTTTATTTCACTTTTTTTATTTATATGATGTCTGTTTGTGTGTATATTTATATATTTATAAACATATTGACATATACCTATGTACAAAAACACACACACACATATACAGTACAGTTCAAAAGTTTGAAGCCACCCCTAGAATTAGCATGGGATGAACTTGACAGAAGAGTTAAAAAAAAAAAAAAAATGAAAAAGACCTCTTAGAGACATTGATAAAGAATAGAATCAATTATCAAACTTATCCTTTAAGAAACTTTTGCAACGAATTCCAAAAAATTGTGCTGCAGTCATCAAGGCTAAAGAAGAATATTTTGATAACAAAATTTAATTATAAAATGCTTTCTTTCTTTTTGTCAAAATAAAATTTCAAATAAAAATCATGTTTCACTTCTTTTTTTAACCATGTATAATAATTTTCTCTTATTTAAGGTACAAAACAACTATTTTGGGGACCAATTTAAAAAATTAACCAGAATGTCCTTAAACTTTGGAACTGTAGTGTATATATATATATATATATATATATATATATATATATATATATATATATATATATATATATGTTTTTAATACTGAATAAAAAGTAATTGGTGCATGTGTACCCAAAAGTGTCTAATGCAGTGTGTGTTGATAGAAGATATTCTAGAAATGCATTGAGCCTATTTCTACAGGTATTCCTTGTTTAGTTTAAAAGGCAAAATCTGGTCACTTTTGTTCTATTATTTGTAATGCAATGAAAGCAGAGAATCCAACCTTAGCAGTTTTCATAATGCAAATCTGAACAGATATAACCTTGTACATCAAACAATTTTCATAAGAAAAAAATTTCATATGAAAAAAATATAAAAATGTTTGTTGGCAATCAATATTTGATGAACAAACAGGAATTGTGCTTGATTTTGCCTATAGTTTGATGTTCAGTCATAAATAAATGATATACATGTATATATGTATGTAAGTATGTATGTGTGTAAACATGCACATACACTTGTCAAAATGCATCAACACAGGTATCCATGTTTATAGATGTTTATAGATAGAAGATAAATATATTTGAATAAGCTGATGTGTATATATATATATATATATATATATATATATAAGTATATATAAACAATAACATAGCTATGAACAAACTGAATTAAAGAAATGTGAAAACATTGATAGTGAGAAATATGAGGAGAATATATATATATATATATATAGCTCTGTAAATTTACATTGAGCACTATTTTGTAAAAATAAAAAAATCAATAAGAACATCGGATTATATATCTTACTGTTCTCTTTTTTATTATATATATATATATATATATGAATATATGAATTAAATAAATGTGAAAATATTATAGATATGAACAGTAGAATTAAAGAAATATATATATATATATATATATATATATATATATATATATATATATATATATATATAAAGAAATAATGTATTTTTTATTTATTAATCTGATTGATTTTATTACTTAAACATTATTTTAGTGGTTATACATATTTGAGTAGACTCTCTATTAAGCAGTATATTTATTTATTTTCATCTACTGGCTGAATATTTGAATATTTACATATATGTATATATATATATATATATATATATATATATATATATATATATATATATATATATATATAGTGTGGTGTTAATTAAACAGTGCTCGATATAATACAACAGAGCTATTAAGTATATATTAATAAATGGCCATATTATCCCTCACCATTCGCATGACCCAGAGTTGCATGTAAAACACAATCTTCAGGTGCTGAGTATGGACAGACTGTTATGTAAATTGAATTTGAAAAATATATCTGTTTATCACAAAGAAGAAGACAAAAGTGATTTCTGTCGCCAATGACAACTGTGCAACAAATGGGCCACACCTCATTCTACGCACCCTCACGGAGTCAGGAAAGTAGCGAGAGAAAAGAAACAAATGACTAACTACGAATTACAAGTACTTTAACAATTTTGGGTTACAAAACATCCCATGTGACTAATTCACGGTTATGCAGATCATTAATATAAAGAAGAAAGAAGGTAAGATCGAGAAGAGATCATTGATGGGGGGGAGGGGATGACACAGACATCAATCTCATAGTCACCTATCCCCCTCCTCTCTCTAAATGAATCAAACCATTCTCTCTCTTTGATTTTTTTTTCCCTTTTTCAATTTGTAGGTCTGATGAATTGGATCGTAATTATGATTCCAATCTAATAAATTATAACCATGGAATATTAGTGTTTGTGCCTTTTATTTATATATATATATATATACATAGAGAGAGAGAGAGAGAGAGAGAGAGAGAGAAAGTGGTTTGATTCACACATGCACACATATATTTTAATCATTTTACCCCAAGCAAGGTGATAATGTCACTAGAATGCAGGGGTCTACAGAGAGTGAAAGAGAATGAGAAGACTTTAGCAAGGCGAAGTGAGGTAAAAGGACAATAAATGAAAAGGTTTCAGGAAGATAGAAGATGGCAATTGATGTTGCATTTTTGAAGATTTTAGGCAGCAGAGAAGCAAGACATCAGATGGTTGCTCCACAGGCAAGAATTATGAGAAAAGAAACTATTGGAATAAAACATACGGTCGTATCTAACTAGTTGGACAGTAAAACAGTGAGTAGTAGCTAATCTAACACACTAAATTCATGAAGTGAAAACACTAAGAAGAACAATTCATCAGAGCAATTGTCATGAAAATATTTGTAGACAAGATAAAGAGAAACCACGTCACTGTGGTGGTAAAGTGACTGAACTGAGATGCCAGGTCAGGATTGATTACATAACAGATCCTTTATTTGAATTTTGGCAAGAAAGAGAGGGGTCAAATTTTTTTTTTTATTCTTTTTTCCCATGTGATTATTCAAAGTGGTTTAGTTAGTTCTCCTTTGATCCTTATCATCTGAAGATTGCTTTAGCATGAAACTCGGAATCATGGTTTTAGATCGAAGTCTCTGAGTGCTTTCTTCATGTTTCTTGTCATTATGTTTTGCTTTCTATAGATATCGAGCATTGTAGATGTTTGTTTAGGTAGGTGTGTCTATTTTTTCTGGGTTTTTTTTTTTCTCTTTTTCCTTTTCATTTTTTTCTTCTTTGACAGGTTTGTTATTGGTAGGGTAGATTTTTGACACTTTCCCTTTAACAAATATTTGGTTTATTCTTTCTCGCATTCTCTCTCTCAATAGATCTCTAAATGGATAGATAGGCTTTACACAAAATTATGAACAATAAAAAATTATAAAGAAATCATTATTTGGTGAATTTTTGTTCATTTCAATATATATTTATATGTGTATATTCTAAAAAAATAACTGAATTTTCTATTAAAATAATTATTTTCTAAAAGCGCAATGATTGAACAGAAAGCTTTTTGACTTTCATTTAACACCTCCAACTAACCCAACATTAAAATAATTTATGCAATAAACATTTTTAAAGATATAAAAATGTAAAGTAATTATGTTTGTATGAAAAATAAAAATTGTTATTTGCTCTGCTTTTGAAAAAAAAAATTCTTCATGAAAATATTTATTTTCTTTTTCTTTTTTCCTTATTTGTTTATCCTTTTTCTTATTTTCTTTTTCTTGTTTCTTTTTCCTTTATAGTATTTTTCTTTTTCTTATTTTCTTTTTCCTTTTCCTTTTTCTTTTTCTTATTTTCATTTACCTTTTTTCTTTTTCTTATTTTTTTTTCTTTTTTCTTAATTTGTTTATTCTTTTTCTTATTTTCTTTTTCCTTTTATTTTCTTTTTCCTTTTTTCATTTTCTTATTTTCATTTTCCTTTTTTCTTTTATTTTCTCTTTCTTATTTCTTTTTCCCTTTATTTTTCTTATTTTGTTTTTGTTTTTTCTTATTTTTAATTTCTTTTTCTTCTTTTCTTTTTCTCTTTCTTATTTTCTATATTTCTTTTTATTTTCTTTTTTCTTATTTTCTTTATTTGTTTTTCTTTTGATCTTTCTCTTTTTCTTATTTTCTTTTTCCTTTTCTTTTTTAAGGTGGAGATGCCAAATTATTACTGTTGCTGTGTGTTTCCCCAGCCAAGCATTATGTTACTGAGTCTTTGCAGTGCCTTGGTTTTGGGCAAAGAGCACGTCAAGTTCAACGAGGGCCCACCAAAAGGAGGCTACCCACAGGAATAGAGAAAATGGAAATCTCAAGTGGAAAGAACCATCCTAAAACACCTCCATTCTCAATACGATAAACACTGCAAGGAGTAACAAAAACTATAAATATGAATACACACACACACAAATGATTTTATACACAACAATTTCTCAAGTGCATTACTCCTATATAGAAATAAGTTCAACTTCAGTGTAAAGAATGTCATATATATTAAAAAAGAAAATAATTTACTTAGAGAAAAAGGTCTTAAGCGTGTTGATATTGAATAATGCCAAAATGTATATCTGGACCCTGGATTTTTAAAAATCTCCTTTCCTAAAAGAAATACACCTTTCTCAAGCCAACATAAATGACCATGAAAATATTAAAAATCAAAACAAAATGGTTAAAATAAAACCTTCTATTATTTGAAATAAATACATAAATTGATTTTTAAAATAAAATAAGAAATAATAATTACATTAAAAAAAAATAATTCAACAACATTTACTCACTTTAATTAATTAGGCATTAAATTATATCACTTAGAATCTTCCAATAGTTTACCTTGATTGTTATAATAAGCCTGAAGAATACTTATGAGCATTGTTAAATTTAAATCTTTTAAAATCCGAACAACAGTTTTACTTCTGTTTATAAATATTTGTTGCAAAATAAAACCTTTAATAAAGTCCAACAGGGGACAGAAACTTATTGGTAAAGAAAAATTTTCCTTTTGTCTTTATTCCAATTTTCTTTTTACAGATATGTTTTTATTTATATCTGAATTTTTGCATACACACACACACATGTATGATAAAATAAAATACAGAACAAGTAGGAAACTTATCTCAATCTAGCATGTTTCACTTTTATTAAAACTTTGTCAGAGATCAAGATAGAAATGAAAAAGCAAAGAGACAGACACTGGTATGTTAATATTTTTTGGTTAGTTCTCATTGGTCAGATACATGTCACATGTATTAACACAATAGATAATATATAAATATGTGTAAGGAACATTTAGGACATTAAAATGTGTATATGTAAAGAAACATTTGTGTATCAAGGTGTAAGTTGGATGCTAACATTAATTCATGTCAGTGTATAAGTATGTGTCTGAGGAATATCTATAGATGTCATTGTCATTTATTCCAGTAAAATGTAGCGAGATGTTGCAATAATTTTGTGTTTGGTTGGATTTTTATATTCTTGTGTGTGTATGTGTATGTGTATGTGGGGAATATCTGTTATTGTCACCTCTGTTGGTCAGTGAGATGCATCAAGATATTGTAATAATCATATTTTCATTGGAATTATCATTAAAGCATTTCTCATGTAAATATTTTAAAAACGATTTTTAAATTTGGATTATTTTATGTATTAGATAAACATAAGTTAGATTTATGAATAATGGATCTGTAGAAAGATGATGTGATGTAATGTTTTAAGCAAGTGTTCATAGTTGGTAGTAATGCTATAAATATATTTTCCAAATATTTTCTCCTTAGAGGGTTATGTTCTTTTTTTAATGAGGATGACATTAGTGAAATCAAAATTATGTCTAAACTCTTGTGTTTATAGATATGGGTTTTTAGATCATGTGATGTCTCCCCCATGTAAATGTTTTTGTACTCTAGATACTTTATTTAATCACCAATGTTTTAGTTGACTGAAATAGTCATAATCTTACTATTCCCCTCTATGAATATCCACTTCCACAATGACTTAGTAGACTCTAATCCCCATAATTTTATTACTACACTTAAAATTCCTTACCACTATGTCTTAGTAGAATTTTACTACTCCACTCAATAAAAATTCCTTTCTCAATGTCTTAGTAGAATGAAATAGTCATAATCTTACTACTCCACTCTATAAAGATCCCTTACTACAATGTCTTAGTAGAAAGAAATAGTCATAATCTTACTATTCCAGTCTATTTCCACTATTTATAGTCTTGCTACTCCACTCTATAGTAATGCATTTCTATAATGCAAATAGTCATAATCTTATGACTTGGCTCTATAAAAGTCCCTTTCCACAATGATTTAGGGGACTGTTATATTCTGTGTTAATAGGAATATATACTTGACGATAGGTAGTAACAACCTATAAGTAGCTGTAAGTCAATGGACTACAGAGTCTAGCTGGGACCTGTTGAGGACAACTCAGACTTACGTGAGAACTATCAACCTTCCACTAGTAGCACTCACTACTGGATTGATTTGCGATGACCTTGTGTATAACTGTTACCTTTATTCTTATTGTACTGTTTTTTTTACAATAAACCTTTACTTATTTTATCCTCCTTGTTTTTCATATATATATTCATATTAGCATGAACTATAATAATCTCCAACAGTAAAAATTAAAAAAAACATTGAATTCTTACATTGCTCACTCAGCTACCACACTCTCCTATAGACTACCTTGCTACTCTATCAATAGTTACTGCAATGTTTATGTGTATCAAGCATCACATCTCAAACTACTAAAATATTACTGTTCACATGAGATAAATATTATTCTTTCTTTCTATGTGCCATGTCCTTTCAGGACGTAGACGATGATGGCTCTCCACCTCACTCTATTCCTTGCAGCTCTCAATAAGTTCCTTCTCTCTGCCACCTCCTCCAGACCATGTTCTGTCATCCACTTGCTTATGGCTGCTAGGTATGTCATGCATTGTTTTCCCTTGTCTCTCTTTCCCTCTATTCAACCTGTGAGTACCAGATTCTCCAGGCCCTCCTTCCTCATTATGTGTCACTGAATTTAAATAGTCTCAAACCTAAAATAATCTTAGCATTACAGTAAGTCAAGGCAAACATAGTTTTCAGATAAACCTTTCCAAAACAGAAACTCTGAACTAAAATTGTAATGAAAGTAGTGATGGCTCGATCATAAAAATTCCATATGTAGAATTAATGAAATATTTTCTATCAATCATTTCACCCCAAGCAAGGCCATAAAACTACTAGGACACAAGTGATTACTGAGTGTTAGAGAATATGAGAAAAAGACACTATTAAGGAGAGAGGACAATAAAAGCAGAATTTAAGAAGACAGAAGATAACTACTGACATTGCATTTACATTTTTAAAGATCAAACTTGACTTGGAAGCAAGAAGCCAGAAGAGTTCCACAAGTAAGAAGTGTGATAGAAGAAACTGTTAGCATAGAATTTATGGTTACATCTAGCCATTTCAATTGTAAAATGATGACTTTGCAGCTAATCTAGTAATGTGCTTAAATTCATAAAGTTGAGGTGCTATAGAGGAAAGTTCATAACAATTACCATGAAAATATTTATAGAAAAGTCACAGGGAAGCTATATTATGGTGGTAGGAAAGAACTGAAGCCAAGATGCCAGGTCAGAACCAATAACATTGCAAATTCTTCTTTGGATTTTATCAAGAATTTTTAAATATATAATAGGAGCACCAGACCAGGTGTGGCAGCAATATTCAAATTGAGGAGGAATGGTAGACTTATGAATATGTAAAATAGATTCTAGTCAAAAAAAATTGTCTAGCATGATTTAGTGAACCATCCTTCTCATCTGCAGACTTAGCAATTGATACCATATATTCTTTCCAGCTTATGTCAGCTGAAAACATTAGCCTGAGAAGGCACAATGAATCAATTTCCTGGAGGTTAGCATCTGTCATGCCGAGAGAAAGTAAAAAAAAGGTTCTCTCTGATAGTAAACACATGAATTGCCTCAGTGTATTGATAAGTTATCAGTAATTTAGTTTTAGTATAGTATTTAGTATATTCAGTAATTTAGTATTGTAGATATAAAAATTGAACAGAGGATAGGTTGCACAAAAGGCACTTTAGTCTAACAATGCAAAATGATGCACCTTCTATGTTCGGTATCCTTTCAGGATGTTGGCAATCAAGGCTCTCCATAAATTCCTATCTCTTATGAATCCATAACAGCATTTCTCCCTTTGCCAAGCCTCCTGACACCCATTCTGCTATCAATTCACACAAAATCATTAAATAGGTGGCCCACTTTTTCTGCTATCTCTTTGGTTCTCAATGTGCCCTGTGAGAGTTTTCCAAACCCCACTTCCTGATTATGTGTCCAAGAAATTTTGGCAATCTCTTTCTGATTCTGAATATAAGTTCTTTTTGTTACCAATTTCTTTATGACTTCTTCTTCTTTGTTTCATCCATAGAATTTTTAGTATCCTTTTGCAGACCCCAAAATTATAATAATAAATTCTAGTTACATTCCATCATCACCAATCGGAGACCCTGATTTATCACCAGTTATGATGAATGGATGTTCACTCAAGGAGACCCCCTCGTGCTTTGAGTGACTCTTGGGCCATAAACTCAATCCAAAACTCAAGTGGAACTCTTTCATATGATCCATTGCAAAAGTTGCAGGAAAAATGGTCAGTTCCTTTTACTGCTTAGTAAGTACCTGACTCTTTGTGTTATCCTCTACCGTTATAGAACTTAGAGTTAGAGCTAGCCATTTTAACTGTAAAATTATGAGACCTAGCTGCCAATGTAGTACTGTGCTTAAATTCATAAATCTTGATACCTTAGATAAAAAAAGTTTATCAGAATAATTACCATAAAAGTATTTACAGAAAAGACAAAGGGAAAATATATTATGGCAGTAGGAAAGTGACTGAAGGTGAGATGCTAGGTTAGGACCAATAATATTGCAGATTCCATTTTGGATTTTATCAAGGATTTCTAAATAGAGAGCAGAAGCACCAAACCAAATATGGCAGCAATATTCAACACAAAAACAATTGCAGACTTATAAATGTGTAAGATAGATTCTGGAGATAAAAATTGTTTAATATGAGTTAGTGAACCAAGAATAGAATGTAGGTCTTACCATTGACACCCTGTTCATGAGAGTAGAAAGTCCCTGAAACTATCAACACCCTATTGTTATGGGTAGAATATAGGTCTTATCATCAAGTCCTTGTTGCTGAGTAAAAAGTTCATCTTGCCATTAACATTGTGTTTGAGAATAGAATGAGAGTAAAATGTTAAAAAATATAAATCATATAAAAGAAGAACCAGTAAATTGTAATTATTTTACATTTGCTGTATTATTGTTTT